CGGGCCGGACGATGCGAAGCGCGAGGGCCAGTTTGCGTTCTACGCCAAGCAGCTCTTCATGATGCGCGGCGAGCGGCTCAAGGAAGTGGTCTCCTCGCTGGTCGACGAGGCGCGCAGGGAGCGCCGCAACGACGAGAACGTCGCCATGGTGGGCCTGATCGTGGAGCGGGTCAAGGACGAGGACATCGCCGGCAGCGGCAACAGCGCTACCAGCAGTGGAGGCAGCAATAGCGGCAGCGGCAGTGGCGGGCGGTGGCGAGGCGAGGCGCCGGAGGCGACGATGATGCTGCGCGAGGGCGAATGGCGCTGCGTGGGCGGGCGAAGCGGTGTCGAGCGACGAGATGATGATGAAGGAGACGATCAAGACCACACCACCACCGCCACCACGAGCGCCGCCCAGGCCGAGGGTGCAGGTAGCAAGGGCACAGGCGGCGTACTAATGGTCGACCAGCAGGCCGCGCCAGTGGCGGCAGAGCAGAAGGGCAAGAGCTTCATGGCGGGCTTCTACACTCCGCACATGGACAAGTACGCGTTCGGCACCGACACGCTGGTCTTCGAGCTCCACGTGCAGGTGGGCGGCGCCCACATCCCCGGCTCGCCCTTCCTCCTCGCCTTCTTCAACCCGCTTCTGCCCTGACGCCCACACAAACCGCCATTAAACCGCCTCAACACCATCATCGGCGCAAGTGTACAATGATAGAAATAGAAAATAAAGAAATATTCATTTATTTAATTGTAATATTTAATGTTTGCAGTGAAGATGTGGCGTCGGAATAAATGAAGATCAGTTTTTGATATTTAGTTATTTATTTTGTAGAGAAGATGGAGGAAGAGCAGAAGAGGCCGCAGGGGAAGGAGGGCGGAAGCGCGACGGTGGCGGAGGATGCGGTGCGCAAGGTGGTGGTCAAGCGGCAGTGCTCGCAGCTCGAGGTGGAGCTCCTGCAGCTGCAGCATCAGCGCGAGAAGGAAGACAACGTACTCGCCGTGGCACAGGCCAAGAAGAAGAAGCGTGGCGGTGGGGGCAAGAAGAGGGGCGGCGGAGGCGATGAGAAAAAGGAGAAGCGGGAGCAGGAGGCCCTGCAGCGAGTCCGCGCCGACCTCGACGCCTTCGTTGCCGACACCACCCGCATGCAACACGTACCCATTTATTATTTTTTTAACTATATTTTTACTATTTTAAATAAATAAATAAATAGATAATGCAAACGAGATGTTTGATTTATTTAAAATTAAAATTAAAATTCAATTTCAGGATTTTTCGCCTTCGCTGTCGTCGTCCGAGAGGGCTCTGCTGCACGAATGGGCGGAAGAGCTCGGGCTCGAGGTACCACCACCGCTGACCTCGTGGCGCAGCCTGTGTGCCCCTTTTGCTGGCAACTAACTCGTGGAACTCGCCACCGGCCAATGCAGCATTCGAGCTCGGGCTTCGGCCGGAACCGCCACATCATGGTCAAGAAACGCTTCGCGCCCGACACGCACATCAACGGGCAGGGCGAGATCGAGGAGCTACTCTACTACAACGGTAGTTACCACCAACCCCACACGGCACACGGCACACGGCACACGGCACACGGCACACGGCACACGGCACACGGCACACGGCACACGGCACACGGCACACGGCACACGGCACACGGCACACGGCACACGACACACACGCGACACACTAACGCTTGAATCGGTGCAGGATATGTGGGGCTGAGTGGTCCGCTTGTGAATGCTGCTGGCCGGCACATGGCCGCCGGACCGGCATCGCCCGAGGTAAGGCGCACACGCGCCGGTGGGCGTGAGCACTATGAGTGGCCCGACACTAACAAACAACGCCCCCCCCCAAATAGGGCGTGAACACGGCGCTGGTCGTGCCGGTGGAGTACCTCAACAATCGTGTGCGACGAGACGGGTACACCTGCAAC